AAAAAAATTTGAGCATTCTACCTCAAACCGTTCTCGAATTATCGTGCGAACAGACAGACAGACAGACAGACAAACAAACAGACAGACGCGAAACTTTTTGATCATCACTGGAGTAATAGGCTTCGCTATCGCTCAGCCAACAAAACGACCCTGAAAATCCCAGCTCGCTCTCCGTGACTGTCGATTGGCAGTGAGAAGGGAGTGGCGGGTGGGAAAGCCAAGAAGCGGGAATTACCGGATGGTGTCATGTGTATGTATGCATGGACCTGCAAGGCCACCTCAGTCGCCTGCAGGTCGCCGCCAGGGAAGGAGAGCGCAGCATTTACTGAAACGATGTACCCCCGCTGGTTTGTTGTCCGAAGTGCTGCCAGGAAAGAGTACTGGATAGTGCCAGCGAGTGCTGTGCAACCGCGACCTGCGCCGTACTGCTTTCCGAACACGAAGGAGTTCGTCCTCAACAATTTCCACCCTGTTAATGTGAAGTTATTCTGTAGAGTCCACTTATTAATGACAGTCGGCGCGGAGCTGCCGTCAGAGGACAAGGTGTTCCACAACTGTGAGATACTTGACTAACTCTAATTTCTCTTCAACACATCACACAGTCCTCGAAGAAAAGTCTCCGACGGTGCCGCGCCGCCCAGCCAATGAGCGCCTGTCGTTTGAATGGAGGCGCCGACCCGGGCCTCGTTAAAGCTGAATTTAGGTGTTTAAATGCGTCAAATGAAGCGGTGCGAGTTCAAATTTGGACATTCTCTGATTTTCTGACGTCTTACAGGCGGAGGCCGACGACCAAGTGGAAGACGAGCAGAGGGCCACCGACGACGACGACGGCCTGGAGGCGGAGGCGGGGCAGGCGGGGCAGGCCAACCAGGCGCAGCAGCAGCAGCCAATCGTGCTCCTGCGGCGCTGTGATGTAAGTCCGAGCACTAGATAAAGGAGAGGAGATGGGTGATGCCGAAGGGTTAGAACTCGAAATAAACGTGAATATTGTCACCTGTCAGTACCGTCGCCGATTTGAAATTGTGCTGCGCTCTGATTGGTCGAGGCGGGGGCGGGGCGGTCTCGTCAGACGATTAGTAGAGGTGAGAGAGTGCGTGTCAGGGTGAAGTGAATTCAGATCTAAAAGAATGTCATCAGAAGATATCCTGCGGATAGACTTCACCGACTCCTCTGAGGAGGAGCAAGTGGTGAGTACAAATGTTATACTCTGAGTGAAATCGCGTGAGACCAGAGAGGTGTCGGACTCCTAACCTGTTGCTACCGCGAGTCTCCCTCCGCCATTCAATTTTGAACTCGTTGATTTACACGTGCGCTTTCAAAGCCGTGATTGAGTTCGCCGCGCTTTTCAAACTAACCGCGTGAGTTTGCCGCCCCTTTCCTAACCTCACCACATGCCGAGTTCTCACGAAATTCTTTTCAGCGAGTGAATCTGCACTTGATGGGTGAACGCCCACCGGAACCTCACGCCGTCCCCGACCCACCCTCCGACTGGGCCGCAGTGCCTCTAAAAGGGCAGGCTGTTGCGGGCTCAACGCATCATGCTCGCA